TGTGTGTGTGTGTGTGTGTGTGTGTGTGTGAGAGAGAGAGAGAGAGAGAGAGAGAGAGAGAGAGAGAGAGAGAGAGAGAGAGTCCATCAACTTCTTTGTTTTTCTTCGCAAACATTCCTTCTTTATTGTGGGTGTAGCCGCAACAGGCAGGGTTGCATCCCTGCCGACTGCCGACTCCAAATGCCGACCGTATTGCAGCCGACCAGTAGGGCCGACCGGTCGGCGGTCTGCCGACCAGTCATAAAACAACCATCGACTGATTTTTTTTCAAATCTGAGTTGGGGGCTGTACTGTGCTTGCTGAGTACAACCCAAATGAGCTGAGAAACTTTTGGGGATTGGGGGGGTATGGGGGGGTTGGGGTTGAGTATAAGGGGGGTATAGGGGTGACATAGAGGGTGTTGGGGGGGTGTATGGGGGTATCGGGGGCCGCTATGGGGGTGTTGGTGGTGTTATTAGGGGATCTGGACCCCAACTTTTTTTTTTGTTTTTGGTTTTTTTGCAGGGTGCCAACGACCCCCGACCGGTAGGTGCGGATCGGTCGGTGGGTCGGCAGCCGACCAGTCAAGGGCGGCCGACCGTCGGGGGTTGCAACACTGGCAACAGGTGCCCTAGTCGTCCAATCGCTTGCAGCGACCTGTGGCCCCTATTGGTCAGCCTCAGGCCGGTGACCAGCGTATAGAAATGCGAGAAAAAAAGAAACAAACAATGAAAGCAGCAACCACTAGACGGCAAAACATCGACCTGATGCAGCGTGAGGGCTGTGCATTGTATGTCCGATGCTTAGCAGGACGTTTCAGTTGGATCCTGATGGCACCGGATGTTGTTCAGAAAGCAATGAATCCACTTTGGATTTGCGCAAGGGCCAGCACAGATAGCCCTGAGTCTGATTCAGTGGTCTCGTGATTTCAGGATCATACATCCGTCTATCCTGATATTTCGGGTCATGAAGGAGTTCACTTTGGTGAGGGCAATGAAATGGTTCATTTTCCCTTTGTCGCGTTGGAGAAGTCAGCAAATTTGGTTTCATTTCCAAGGGGGAGGTAAATATGAACACGGTTCAGCCATGGAGCTCTGTTCATGTTAGCTACTGATGGTTGAAAACCTTGCTGTCTGTTGAACAGGTCAAGGTGTCTGGAGCTGCACTGTGCCGTGAACGGGAGTAGAGGTGTGCATCGGTGCCAAATCTTTGTGGAATGCGCTGGCTTTGTGTTGGTGATTATTGCATAAGGAGCATTTGCTGCCCAAGTTGTGGTGCAAGAAGTCGAAGTGCAGCCTTCATTGGAGGTAAGCTGCAGTTCCCCATAGGAGCTGTGTGTTACGACTGTGCCATCATATGTTGTCAGGTAGCTATTGTGACGTCTGTGTGAGAGAATGTTTATATCTGGTTTACCCTGTAGAGGCGAGGTCACTTGAAGCAACGGTTTTGTCTGTTTGCGAGGGAAGTTTTTGACACAATGATGCATGGAAGGCAGGGACCTTCTGGGCCATTTTCTGGGTCCATGGGCGGAGGTCATGGGGCAATCAATGGGATGCGCGCTAAGGCACCGCCTGGTCCTGTTCCTCCTGTATGGTGGCGGTGGTCCTCACCACGGTCCTCCACTGGCAGTCATGGAGCACAAGCTAGCCACTGCACACACGGAGATGCAGAGGCTGTTGACTGAAAACCAGAGGCTTGCAGTGACCCTCATGGCTCCACTGCAGGAGCAGGCTCAAGGAGAAGTGCAGCGCTTGAGGCTGAGAGAGGCAAGCATCTGGAAGCTTATGGAACGGAATGCTGCGGTGACGGAAGACCTGCGCACAATAGAGCCGTTGAAGAAAGAGGGTTATGCTGCAAGAGTGGGGCTGCACAGTCTTTGAGGGAAACGTGAGGAGGCTGAACAGGCATGACATCCGACTTCAGTAGGGCCCGTCAAGAGCTGACCAGCAACTGCAGGGCATGACAGCTGACTTCATTAGGGCCCGTCAACTGCTCATCAGCAACTTCAGGGCATGACAGCTGACTTCAGTAGGGCCCGTCAAGAGCTGTGTCAGCTTGCCACTTTGCGGGGGGAGTTGCAGCAAGTTCCGACCCTGCGGCAGGGAATTCAAGGGCTGCGGCAGGAACTGCAGCAAGTCCGAACCCAGCTTGAACAGGAGAAGAAGTTCTAAGTCTGAGCAAATTGATAACAGTCAGCGAATGGAAAGCAACCTTGTCTCGATGGCAAGGGCAAATGAAAAAACTCCGTGCACAATTCACTGTTGGCAGCAGGACTTCTGGTGGAAGTGGAACCCTGGGATTGAACTATGCTGCACCAACTAGGGACTGCAGTAGCCGTTTATGGTAACCTGAGCAGTTTCAGCTGCTTCCGTGACCTCTCCTCTACGTGTTCTTCTCTTCCCCTTTGCCCTTGGTGGTCCCATGTCAGGCTGAGCTGTGGTGAGCAGTTCCGCATTGACTTGTCCTTTGTTCGGTAGCCCTAGACTGTTGGATGATTGGTGCATAGGGCGGCGGCTTGCATATCACTCCGTCTGTGAATGGATGTGAAAGCACTTTGTGGTCCCATGTCAGGATGCACTGTGGCTGTCTCTTATACACATCTAGATGTGTATAAGAGACAGGTTCCACATTGACTCGTCATTTGTTCGGTAGCCCTAGACTGTTGGATGATTGGTGCATACGCCGGCGACTTGCATATACATCCGTCTGTGAATGGATGTGAAAGCGCTTTAGCGGCGGGCAAGGAGGACATACATTTTTTCTTCGATAAACTTAATTAACAGTTGTTCGGTCTGGAGCAGTGGCAGTGGATCTCTTGGTGTGTGGTTTTCAAACCATTCAGGTTGGCAGTGAAGATGCTGTGTCTCCTGCTTCAAGAGAGCCCGTTTCTGTTTTAGTGGGGTGGCCAGGGTATGACCCTTAACCTTTTGCAATACGCTGCACTGAAGGTCAGGGAAGGTTGACTTGCTCAGGAGATGCAGCCATCATGAAAGGCATGTCATCGGTAGGCAAACATTTCTCAACTTTCTTGGTGTCCATGGGCGGAAGCCGTGAGCCCATCTAGAGGTCAGCCGCAGCTATCCTGGTCTGTATGCGAACTGCCTCAAAGTTTTCCTCGGGGAAGCTATGTTCGAGTCACTACCCTGCTTCAGGTCGTTGTTGATTCTCGTTAATGTTGGAAATGGAGCCCAAGTGGCAGACCTTGCAGTACAGTGTAAGGTTGGGCATGCTCCCTGGAGGTGGGTGGCCATGAAACCTTGGTGAGCTTGCCGCATGTAGGGAAAATAAAAAAAGAACTAAGGAACAAGACTTTCTCACACATGTAGGAAAGAAAAAATTCTCACACTGGTGGGAAAAGATCTGTCGTGATGGGACGGTGGCAAGAAGAGGGTCGGAGTGGAGGTGTGGCATTTTTGCCATCGGTTCGTGAAAATGGGTTCAAGGGCAGTAGTGGTTTAATCCTTCCCAGTGGCACAGAGATCTCTCACCGTGGTGCTGGACAAAATATACGATCCGGCATAATTTTTGGGCTGTTTTCACGGTCAATGCTCAAGAGGTGCAAAGCGTGCAATACAGGTAGATTGAACATTCAAGAATGGGACTTGGGTTATAGAAGGTGACATTACCAATTGTTCAGTTTCACTGCCTCGAGGATGAAATTTCATGTAGAAAATTTATGAGTTTAGCTCGACGGTAGGTGACCGCATCAGGTGCGAGGTCCCACTGATTTTCCATTTCTAACTGTAGGTTATGAAGATCGACTGGCGGGCATGTTATCATTGTCATTGTTTAAGTGAGTCCTGAGAGAATTACATGACTGCACTGCACTTGCCAGCATGTCAGTGCAATGTGGTATTTCCTCCCACTGATTTTCCATTTCTAACCGTAGGTTATGAAGATCGATGGTCAGAAATGGAGAATCCAGGCAAATTGGACCTTGCCCCAGGACGTCGACTGGCGTTCATGTTATCATTGTCATTGTTTAAGTGAATCCTGAGGGAATTACATGACTGCACTGCACTCGCCAGCATGTCAGTGCAAAGCGGTATTTCCTCCCCCCCTGCGATCATGTTGGACAAACCCTTGAACTTCCTGCGATCATGTTTCTCACCTGAGTTTTTGTTACTCATGTCAGCGTTCTCACTTCTGATATCTCCAGCTGTTTTCACAAACAGACTTCTTCAACTTACAGAACGTTCCGCTACTGACCCTGAAGATACAATGGAAAACAATAGCACTTCGAGCATGTCTTGTAGCCCGCCTGGAGAGGCGTTTGCGGTGCCCCCCTTGAGGCGAGGGAAGACTAGGTGTGTGGAGATTCAATGTGTGTGGGGCGGTGGGGGTCTTCTGACTATTCAAGGAGATCAGGGGTAGTTGATAGCTCGTCTTAGCAGCGTGGTGAGTTGCTGTTTCAGGCTAGGTCACATACTGCTAAGCTGATGATAAAAATTGGGGAATTCAAGGTGATGATGGAGACATGGAACCTCTAGGTTATAGAGATTAGATTGGGAGGGGGTCTTCTAACTCTTCAAGGAGATCAGGGGTAGATGATAGCTCGTCTTGAGCAGCGTGGTGAGGTGCTGTTTCAGGTGAGGTCACATACTGCTAAGCTGATGACAATAATTGGGGAATTCAAGTCGATGATGGAGACATGGAAGCTCTAGGTGATACAGACTAGATTGGGGTGCTAGTTGATAACAAAGACAGGGGGGGTTCCAGGTTGATGATATAGATTGGGGTGCTCCCTATGTGGCTTACAACAAAGATTGGGGGACGAAATCAATGATGGAGACAGGGGACCCTATGGTTGATGATGGAGACTGTGCAACCTGGTTCATAGCAACCCACCAGTTAAGCTAGAGGGGCCAGGTAGGATGAAAGAAGGGGGTTGTATAGTAAGTTTTTTTTTTTTTTCATGGAGAGGATTGGGTACAAAACGGTGTGACCGGGTCCATTTTTAAGCTGAAGGGGTCAGGTAGTATGAAAGAAGGGGGCGTGTAGCAGAGGGATGATACATATGGAGGCCAGGGTGGCATTTGACGACAAAGACTGGGGGCTTCTAGTTGATGACGGGAGGGGGACTAAAGCAACTCCTGTTGAGGATAAAGATTGTCGCAACGCTAGGGGACGGGGGCAATTGATGACGAAAATTGGGTAGTCTGGTTGAGGACAGAGACATGGGGCCAGATGGTTCTCCTCGATGACAGAGACTCCCCTAGGACATCCGAATGTTATGATTCTGGTTGTTGGTTGCCTGAAGGCCAACACTCGCTCACATAGACTTCCGGATATGCCCATACATACACAAAAGGAAGGGGAGAGGATAGGAGTATCACACCTCACAGGGAGAGATAAATACAGCGGAAGACTTGTCCATGCGATACGACAGGGTACACTGAAAGTGCAATTCACTCCACTCAATCCTCACAACCAGTCATAGAGAAAAGCCGAGCAGATCACATCGAGGAAACAATGAAACGATGATAGTCCAAACACAGTATCACACTGTTTATTAAACTCAGAGTCTCGAATTGTCAGGATAAGTTCAGAACTACAGTGCGCTGCTTAGAAATGAGCAGCGCTTCACTCCCCAACCCTGATTAGCACCCGTAACACCCCCTGAGTCCCTGAAACATCAAGTGCCACCCAGATACAGCCTCCTGAGGGCAGTGCCACCTTGAAACAGGCCTCTGAGGCCAAGCGCCACTCAGAGGATGGAGAAGAAGACCAGCACCACAGTATCTGATGATGACGAAGTGTCGGAAGACTTCCCGGGTGGAAGTCTGCAGCAGCGCCACCCAACCCTGACAAGATGACCTCTGAGAAGAAGAAGCTACAGCTATGGCTGTAGCGCGAACCCCCTGGGACCCCACTCCGAAGGAGGGTCCAGCAGGGCACCAATCTCTCTCGCCTCCAGCAGACCTCGATAACCCAGTCCTCTGTCAGCCCCTGCGTGCTGGCAGAGTACATCGCAGGTCCCAGCTATGGCCGGCGCTCCGAAGGTCTGGCTATGCCTGTCTCCTTCCATGTTGAGCCGTCACCACTTCCGGTTCACGCGTAGTACACCAACGATGTACTCGGTACCAACTGCCAAAAGCCCTGGACCGATGTACCCAATCTATCTATAGACTCTAACTAGCCTAGACTCGACCTAGACCGAACTGACTGACCGACCGGTACCGTCTCTGTTTTGGCCTCTCGGCCTCTACCGGACCGGGCTATAGGCTATAGGACCGTCTATCCAGAATAGGCCCATAGGGCCTGTCTGTTCGAGGGGTAGCTCGGGCCTGCTATTCGCAGTTAGGGTAGCTGTAGGGAATCGGGTTAATACCGGGCCTGTATTTTCTCGGATTTGCAGATATGTCCCTCACAAATTTCCCTCACAGGTTGGTCTCTCGGTTAGCCCTCAGCCAAACAAAATTGCGAATCTATCCTACCTATAGTACAACCTCGACAGTTAGAGGTTACAGGCGACCAAAAAACAGCAAGTCATTGCAGACCTACCCTCCCTCGGAGTGAGGACCTCTGAGCTAAGGGCGTAGGCGTGCAGAGCGCCGAAGGGATACTCCCTTTTGTGCTGCCTCATATTTGAGGGGGACAGACTTGGCTGTCTTCAGAAGTTCCTTGTGAGTAAACCTGCGGTCCTCAGTGTGTGGCTGGTACAAGAACTTCACAAGGTACTCCTTACCTGGACCTGTACCTGACTCATCCTCCACAGATTCAACCTCATACCGTTTGCCAGGGATAGGGGGACCGAACTGTGGGGGCCTGTCTGGGAATGCATCAGCTGGCGTGAATGGCAATAGCTTAGATGCATGAAAGACAGGGTAGGTTTGTAGATGCAGAGGGACATCCACTGTATAGGATGGTCCAAATGGATAAACTCCCACTGTATCTAAGACCTGCCATGGACCCATGTAGCGTGGCAGCAGCTTAGGTGAAATGTCCTCCTCTCGCGACAACTCAAAACTGAGTACCCACACCCAGTCACCTGTGTGAATAATAGAAGGACGCTTGTGCTTGTTAGCTTGTTGAATCATAGCCTTTTGGGCTTTCAACAGGTTAGCACGGGCGCGCTCTATGTTCACACGGTAACGCCTGGTGAACTCTGCAGTTCCAGGTGTCAACGTAGGGGTAGCCTTGTCGATGATGTCATCGAGAGGCTGCCGCGGTTCACGACCCCAGTGTAACCGGTAGGGTGTGAAACCAGTAGAGGAGTGTACAAACGTGTTATACACAAGTTGTGCACGACCCAGATGGAGATCCCAGTCCTGCTGATTTGGGCTGATCACAGGACGTAGTAGCTGGAAAATAATCTGGTTCATCACTTCAGTTTGACCATTGGCTTCAGGATGACGACCAGATGTCATATCCAGGCGTGAATGAAGGTAATCCTTGTAGTAGGATTGCCATTCATTGCTGCAAAACCGGGGATCTCTGTCACTGGCGATAGAGGTGGGTGGTCCATGATGTGAAACCCACCTGTCAGCAAACGCCGCCTGAACGACAGACACACGAGCCTCAACTGGTAAGGGGATGAACTCTGCATATTTGGAGAACCGGTCCACACATACTATGACCTGACGCATACCTCGTGGTGTAGTTCTACCCAAGTCAGTGAAATCAATAGACACTGACTGTGCAGGTGCATCAAGGATAGGTAGGGGTTTGAGTAGGCCAAGGGGAGGTCGATGTACAACCTTGTTCCTTTGGCATAGCTCACAGGTTTCCACATAATGCAGCATGTCACTCCTCGTCTCCTTCAAGAAGAAGCGCTGCGACGGGGCTGCATAAGATTTGAGGGCACCAAAGTGACCTTGAGCATCATGACACTCTGACATCAGAAGTGTCCTCAGCTTGCGGTCCTGGGGAATGCACATGCGCTCATCACCTCTGCTGCATGTATACAGCAGACCTGAGACCAAAGTATATCCTGGTTCAGAGGCAGGATTGTCCTGGAGATTCCTCACTATAGGCCCAAAGATCTCATCCTGGGGCAGCAACTGGGCAATGGTCTGACGTGTCCTCTCTCCAAATGAGTGAGTGGAGATCAAGAAAAGAGCGTCAAGCCTACGAGAAAGGGCATCTGCTACTCGGTTGTAGCAGCCCTTCTTGTGTCTCAGTTCAAAGTCAAACATGTCAATGAACTGGATGTAGCGAGCAAGCTTGTCATTCAACTCTCCCTGGGACTTCATCCACTGAAGGGTGGAGTGATCTGAAAAGATCTTGAAGTGCTTGCCTAGGAGAAAGTGTTTCCAATGCTTGAGCGCTGGCACAAGAGCATACAACTCTTTCTTATAGGTAGAGTCCTGCAGCTTCTTGGTCTTGATCTTCTTGCTCATGTATTCAATAGGCTGCAGACCATTCCCATCATCCTGCTGAAGTACCGCCCCTACACCATACTGACTAGCATCAGTAGTAAGCACAAAAGGCAGGGTAGGGTTAGGTAACTTCAAAACAGGGGCACGAATTAAGGCCTCCTTGAGACGTGTGAAGGCCTCCTGACATTCTGATGTCCAAAGAAAGGAAGTGTCCTTCTTTGTGAGATCAGTCAAGGGTGCTGCAATCGCAGAAAAGTCTTTAATGAACTTCCTGTAGTAGGATGCGAGCCCCAAGAAAGACCGGACATCACGAATGTTAGCAGGTCGCGGCCAGTCCTGAACTGCAGCAACTTTCGTTGCTTCAGGAGCCAACCCCTCTCCAGAAATAATGTGGCCCATATAGATTATAGAGGGAACCCCAAAATAGGACTTCTCCCTGTTGATCTTATACTGGTTAGCACGCAAGGCCTGGAGGACCAGAGCCAGATGCTGCACATGCTCCTAGACAGAACGACTGAATACCAAGATATCGTCAAGGTAGACAACTGCGAACTTGCCCAGGTAAGGCCTCAGTATGCGATGCATCTCTGTTTGGAAGGTTCTTGGGGCATTGCAGAGACCGAATGGCATAACCAGGTACTCATAAGTGCCATACCTGGTTTTGAAGGCTGTCTTATGGACATCGCCTTCAGCCATCTCAATCTGGTGATAGCTAGATTTGAGGTCGATCTTGCTAAAGATGGTACAACCCTGCACCATATCCAACAGATCGTCAATGCGAGGAAGAGGCTCTGTAGACTTCCTCGTGATTTTATTGAGACCAAGATTGTCCACGCACATCTTGAACTCACCATTCCCCTTTGGAACAAAGAGGATTGGTGCCCCAAACTCAGATGTGCTGGGCCTGATCCAACCCTTGCTGGTCAGGGGCTCTAATTGTTTCTCGAGCTCTCAAGTTCAGCAGGACATCCTGTAGACCCGGCCCTTGGGAGGGACCGAACCAGGCATCAAGTTCAGCAGGAGACATCTTGTAGACCCGGCCCTTGGGAGGGACCGAACCAGGCAGGATCTCAATCTTATGTTTGGTCTGCCTATGGACAAGTCCAGTAGGCTCCTCCATAAGATCTGAGAAGCTGTCCACTACCTGCTGAATCTGAGAGGGGCAGGGAGCAGTTTCCACGTCAGTCTGTTTGACAAATGCCACGAACAGACGGGCGTGGTCAGTCTGGCGTGAGAATCACAAAAATCTGCGAGCACTCATACAATAACAACTGCTGGCCGGATGATACTCGTCAACGAGCATGCAAGGGTGATATACCCCATGCTGGTCAGGTAGCTCAACCCTAGGGATCCGCCAGTCAATCCTAGGATTGGTGGCACCAAGCCACTGCATAGAGAAGACAAAGTCAAAGGGGACGTTAGGGAACACATAGAAGTTCAGGCAATGCCTGACTTCTCCCTGCTTGTCAAAGGACACAGGTAGGCCCTTGACAACAGTGGTAATCCTGACTGTGGAGGAGTCTCCAATGCGCACCTCCAAAGGCTGTCGCAATTTCACCAATCTCTGATCCAAGTGTAGCTTGCTGACTGCCTTGGGAGAGATAAAGTTGCGTGTAGCCCCACAGTCTAAGAGCCCTTTGATCTTGGCTCCCAGGATGAAGGGTCGAAGCAGGATGAGTTCAGACTTATGCTTCTTCTTCTCCTGCAAGGACAGGAAAAGATCAGCAATGCACTGAGCATCCTCCTCCTCCCACGTCTCATCCAACTCAGAGTCTTCAAAAGTGAAGGACCCTGAAGATGCAACTCCTGAGATAGAAGAACCAGCGAGAGAATGTGAAGATTCACCGTCATCAGAAAGTGAATCAGCAGTGGTGGAAGGAGCTGTTGCTTCCACCTCTCTCTGCTCTAGTTTTTTGAACTAGAGCTGCCTGTAGACCTGCGAGGCATGTTGGGACAATCCTTTAAGAAGTGATCCCCCTCGCATCTCATGCAGACACCCTTGTCCTTTCTCTTCCTCCAGACCCCCTCCTGGATCCTGAGTGCATGCCAGGGGAAGGTGGAAGGGTCAAGGGGGTCAGCTAGCCAACGGACGTCTCGTGGTAATGGTACTCTCTGGGCACCGGGGGAAGAGGCACGTCCCTTTCCTTTCCCCTGTCGACCGGTTGATGCTTTCTGGGCTGGGGCCTTGCCCTTTGTCAGGCCCATCAAAGCATTAGCCAGGGCAAGAATAATTGAATCTGCAACAGATGATGATGCAGTCCCAGGTGGAGGGCTCCCACCCTGGGATGCTGCGCCACTATCTGAACCAGAAGCTGCAGCAGCAAACAGGGCACCCTTCCTCCTCCTTCGCCCTTTGGAGGAGGGTCCCTTCCTTCCTTCAGAAGGTGCTTCCTTGACATGGAGTTTGGACTGCCAAAGGACCGCCAGTCCTTGTGGCCCTGAGAGAAAAGGGCTGCTCTGCCAAAGGACCGCCAGTCCTTGGCTGCTCTGCCAAAGGACCGCCAATCCTTGTGGCCCTGAGAGAAAAGAGCAAGCTGGAATTGCTCAGGCGCTGCCCTTAGGAAATGAATGAGCAGATCCTGCTCACTCATCTCCAACCCAGGAGTCGATGTCAGACTATCAAAGGTGGAATACAGTTTGGATAAGGAGCCATCAAACTTTTTCTGGCCCAAGTGCAGAATTTTGTTTGCTGCCTTCCTGGGCTGCTCCTTGTCTGGCTGGAGGTAGAGGTGCACCATTTCAGTGCTGATCGCTCCAAGCGAGCAAGGATGGCTGACACCTTCACATCCTCATTACATTTGAACCCACTCAGGTAGGTTCTCTGTGCAGCAACCCAGTCTGCCACATCCACCTTTGGGTCTTCGCGTGAGAACATGGGTGGCGGTGTCAGCTTAGGCCGCTGAAATTCAAATGGCGATGAGGGGTGGGAAACTGCTGTTGATGTGGGTGTAGGGGGTGGAGATGCAGGTCTGGAGTGTGGGGGTGATGCAGGTTTTCCTGGAGAAGGTCCAGGAGAGGGAGGAGCAGGAGGAGTGGTAGGGGTCTGAAGGTGAGTGAAGATCAGATCCAGTTTGGCAGAGATGTCATCCAACTTTTTAGAAAAAGTTGAGTGACTGCTCTCCAAATTGGTAATTCGGTCATCCCAGTTAGTAAAATAAGAGCGGTTGATATCATCCTGCAGGAGGATGAACTCAACCATGTCCTTATTATACTGACTGGAACTCCCACTAACCCTAATCTTCTCTACATCTGCACTCAACAACTTCCTCCTGGCCTCTTTCTGGGCCGCCTCCTCTTTCTTCTTCAACTCAGCCTTTAGAGTCTCAACTGCTTTGGCCTGCAGGCATAGTTTCTCCTCCTGGGCCAGCAGTTCAGCCTCTAAGGGATCTAGCGGAATCTGAGGCTTGACCACAGAAGTCTCAGCTTTCCCTGCATCAGCCATTTCCACAATAAAGATAAATAAAACCAATCAACAATCAAAACAGAGCAGGAGGTAACAGGAATTGAATGTTCTCTGCAGTACTAATTCAGTTGCTGTCACCTGCCTGGAGAGAGAAGGTTGGTTAATCTGAGCAAGTGAGTGCTCAGTCTCAGCAGACCGCTTGAGGGTCAGGGTCAGTTCAGAGTCCACTCAGGCAAAAACCAATTTCACGATTTTTCCATCCCTGCCCTGACTCCATACTTGCACTCAATAATTGCAAATCCTGCTTCAATAATTGACAGGATGCAGTCTTGGACTAATTAGTGTTGATTGGAATATAGACAGAATGACTAATTAGGATTAGACAGGCGTCCACTGATGACCTAGATGCAGCGATTTACAGAATATCCTATTTTTATACTTACCCTACAGACCTCAACACTGTATGACCCTGTAGGCCATACCCTGGGTATGGTGAATTACAGTTTTCACTGTAACTGACTCAAAACATTAAATCTGGATGTGCGATTTCAGACACTGATGGAATACTGAATTGCGATTTACCAGGGACTGACAGAACTGAATTATGACGGACATAATCAAAGTTATGATTGACCCTAGTCTAGCCTAGCTTTGGCTATGTCAGCGCAAAATTCAAATTTGCATTATCACTGACAATAGACCCCTGAATTCACCAATTCACTGCACAGTGTCAATCGCAATACGGTAAAGCAGTCCCAGATGAAATATGAGCCAGAGGGAAGGTCAAACAGGGTTAGTAGAAGTCAAAGAAGATAGGTAGGGGAAGTTGGATATGGCTGTCTCACAGTCTGAATGTCGATTTTCAACTGTCACCTGATAGACGGACCAAATTTCGCTATTCTAAAAATAGCCCCAGAATCGCCACACAGGATGGAACAAGGAACACACTTACTTCAGGGTCAACTCTGAAGAAGATGCATGAAACCCTGGCTATGGCTGACTGGTCAACCCCATCTCGCCAGTTTCATCTCCTGACAGTATCCAGTGAAACGGTTTTCACCTTTTAGCAGTAGCAGATGCAGTACCCAGGGTTCGATCCCTAGACCTCGCCCTACCCATGTACAGTACTGGTGTAGACCCCGAGAGTTGAACCTGTGACCTGTATATTCGTAGACAGTTGGTAGGTCTGTCATAGGTCCATAGGTAGCAGGGGTTCGATCTGTAGGTCTATAGAGTAGAAGTCTTAGCGAGTTCCAGAAGTCTAGCTGTAGTCCTTCTAGAAGGTCGGCAAGTGGGCAAGTGGTCAAGTGGCGAGTCAAGTGGTGGACTAAATTGCAGTGCAATTGCAGTACGACTACGGTAGGTTAGCAGTGAGTCCACAGTCAGTCAGCGGTAAGGTCCAGTCAGTCCCAGTCCGGTCCAGCAAGTACCACGGGGGACTGTGAGCACCATGGGCCGATGGCAAAGGGCAGACCAACGGGTTTCCGAAGTGTAAATCAAGAGGCAGCGCCCAGCCTTTCATTCATTCCTGCGGGAGCCATGCGGAAGCGCTGCCACGGCGACTTGTGTAAGGAGGTCTGCAGTGAGCCCGGGGGACGCAGTGGGAGAGAGAGGAGGAGCTTAGTATAGCGATAGGGTAGAGGCAGCCATAGCTGCCATAGCTATAGTTAGTGTGAAGTGTGTGTGTGTGTGTTCGAGTGTTCAGAGTGACGAGTGTGGGAAATCCAGGGTGATCCGGTGTGTGTGAACAGTGAGTTGTTTGGGCGCTGAGTCGCCATAGCCAGTTGAAAGTAACTCTTGTCTGGATGCCATATCTCTGAGTTTTGAGTGGGCGCATGTCGCCAGTTTGCTGCGCTACTGTTTACATGCATGAAAAGTGTGAATGAGAACGAGTCTGGTTGCACCAGTGTTCCCACGCACCAAATTGCACCAAACTTGGTGATCCAGTAGATTACCCTGAGGCGCTTCACCCCCAACTGACGGAATCAAAGAATGACGACTCCCAATAACTGATGAAGTCAGTGCAGCGCCACATCGCCCTGTACTGCGCTGCCTGGAAATTGGGGATCCTGACCCAATCCCACAATCGCCACCTCCTGGGATCACTTCCTTGACAATCGCCAACCTCCAGGTGAATCGCCAGGCTAAAAAAAAATAAAAAAAAAATAAAAAACAATCGCCAACCACTCCTGCACAATCCCAGTCAGGAGTGAGTCACTCTCTGCCCAATTCTTCTCGCCACACACTCACAACCACCACCCTTACTGACAACCACCCTGAAGATGATGAATCGCCATGAAACTCAAATCCAGTATCTCGCCAGATAGTGATGGATGCTCCAACTCATCAATCGCTCCAGAGCCTGGATCCAATTGCTCTGATACCAACTCTGATACCAACTGTTATGATTCTGGTTGTTCGTTGCTTGAAGGCCAACACTCACTCACATAGACTTCTGGATATGCCCATACATACACAGAAGGAAGGGGAGAGGATAGGAGTATCACACCGCACAGGGAGAGAGAAACACAGCGGAAGACTTGTCCATGCGATATGACAGGGTACACTGAAAGTGCAATTCACTCCACTCAATCGTCACAACCAGTCATAGAGAAAAGCCGAGCAGATCACATCCAGGAAACAATGAAACGATGATAGTCCAAACACAGTATCACACTGTTTATTAAACTCAGAGTCTCGAATTGTCAGGATAAGTTCAGAACTACAGTGCGCTGCTCAGAAATGAGCCGCGCTTCACTCCCCAACCCTGATTAGCACCCGTAACACCCCCTGAGTCCCTGAAACATCAAGCGCCACCCAGATACAGCCTCCTGAGGGCAGCGCCACCCTGAAACAGGCCTCTGAGGCCAAGGGCCACTCAGAGGATGGAGAAGAAGACCAGCACCACAGTATCTGATGATGACGAAGTGTCGGAAGACTTCCCGGGTGGAAGTCTGCAGCAGCACCACCAAACCCTGACAAGATGACCTCTGAGAAGAAGAAGCTGCAGCTATGGCTGCAGCGCAAACCCCCTGGGACCCCACTCCGGAGGAGGGTCCAGCAGGGCACCAATCTCTCTCACCTCTAGCAAACCTCGATAACCCAGACCTCTGTCAGCCCCTGCGTGCTGGCAGAGTACAGCACAGGTCCCAGCTATGGCCGGCGCTCCGAAGGTCTGGCTATGCCTGTTTCCTTCCACGCTGAGCCGTCACCACTTCCGGTTCACGCGTAGTACAGCAGCGATGTACTCGGTACCAACTGGACCGATGTGCCCAGTCTATCTATAGACTCTAACTAGCCTAGACTCGACCTAGACCGGACTGACTGACCGATCGGTACCATCTCTGTTTCGGCCTCTCGGCCTCTACCGGACCCGGCTATAGGCTATAGGACCGTCTATTCAGAATAGGCCCATAGGGCCTGTCTGTTCGAGGGGTAGCCCGGGCCTGCTATTCGCAGTTAGGGTAGCTGTAGGGAATCGGGTTAGTACCAGGCTTGTATTTTCCCGGATTTGCAGATATGTCCCTCACGAATTTCCCTCACAGGTAGGTCTCTCGGTTAGCCGTCAGCCAAACAAAATTGCGAATCTATCCTACCTATAGTACAGCCTCGATAGAGAGAGGCTACAGGCGACCAGAAAACAGCAAGTCATTGCACGAAACTGTCGCCTATTCCATCAAGCCCAGGAGACTCCTTATCTATAGACTTTATGGACACCAAGGTGAAGAGTAGGAGTGGCAAGAGTCAGGTTATGGTCGTGGTGGACAGATTTAGCAAAAAAATTGTTTTTATTCCGCTGCCGTTGGAGGCAAACACAGGCCTAGTCATTAGGGAGTTCCTCAACCATTGGGTCAAAGACTATGGACACCCCTTAACCATAGTCAGCGATAGAGACACTAGGTTCACGGGCGAGCACTGGCAGCAACTGATGAAAGTCTACGGGTCTAGACCGACCATGTCACCAGCCAGACTAATGGACAGATTGAACGGATGAATAAGTTGTCAAAACAAGTGCTTCGCATGTACATTAGGCCAAACCAGATTGATTGGGATGAGCATCTCCCTAAGGTAGCTAGTGCTAACAACAATTCAGTGCACCTACCCACCTCACAAACACTCGTGTTTCATACAGGACCACATGTAGGACCGTAGGACATTGGCATAAGTACCGTGGCCCTCGCCCAAGATCAGATTGCGAATCGTCTCGCTATCATCAACGTCAGTTTTCTGAAATAACAGTCCGTCACTCTTTCGGTATTCAGGGACTTCGGGTGGTGCTGTAGCCACCTTCTTTATGGTGTCACTATAGACCTTATCATCTGCGTATGCATCTCTAATTTGCTGTTGTAGTTGTGAACCTGCATCTAGGTAAGTTACTATTGTGCCGAAGTAATCTGCCCACCTGTTCAGCGCATCTGCAACGGCGTTGTACTTACCGTTGGCCGGTTTAACTTCAAAGTCAAACTCATCGGTTTTCGTAGCCATTTAGTTAACTTAGTAGACATCCAGACCTGTGTTTTTAACCAAGGAAGTGTCTCGTGATCCGAGTACACTTTCAGATGTCTGCCTGACAGGTAATGCTCCCAATGTGCTAGTGCTTCTTTCAATGCGAACAGTTCTCTCTTATAGGTTGAGGCATCAATCTTCTCATAGGGAAACCTTAAGGGGCATGAACTCGACAAGCCTATACCCTTTGCCATCATTCTGTTGCAGTACAACGCCAATGCCACACGGATTTGCGTTGGTAGTTACGATGAATGGAAGAGATGGATCAACTATCTTTAAGATCGTGTATTCGATCAAACACTTTGTCAGCTTCTCGAATGCTGAAGTGCAGTCCGTGTCCCAGTTCCAAACTATTTCCTTTTGCAGCAGTCTACACAACACTGCGACTATGGACATGAAGTTCCTCACAAACTTCTTATAGTAACTGGTCAGTACTAGGAACGAACGCAGTTTCGTGAGCATATGCGGGTAGGCAAATCTCGAATTGTTGCTATTTTGGTGTCCTTCGGTCTGATTCCATCACTATTGTGTCCAAGGCATAGAATCTGGCGCTTTGCCCACTCACAATTCCTCGGATCGAGTTTGAACCTAGCATCACGCAACTTAGTATTAACCGTAGGTGTTCTTGATGCTCTTCTAATCACTTGGTAAGAATTAGAATCTCATTTAAATCAACGACAGCGAATCTGTCTAACCACTCTCTAAAGAAATTATTCATGCATCTCTGAAATGTGGCAAGGGCATTTGTCAGCCCTAAACGGCATCACCGCAAAGTCATAGTGGCCATATCGAGTCCTATGGGCCGTCTTGTGCTGGGCAACGGTTTTGTATTCTTGACAGTCACAGCATTCAGAACCCTGTAATCTATGCACATTCTCAGTTTGCCATCCTTCTTAGGCACGAATAGAACCAGTGCGCTGTATGGCGATGAGCTAGGCTTTATCCTCCCCATTACAAGCAACTTGTCTAGCTGCTTGCACAGTTTATCCAATTCCTTGGGAGACATTCAATAAATGGCACCCTTGGGAGTCTTACTACCGAGTTCTATCTTAATCTGGGGCTTAATCTCCGTCTCTGCTGCGCCGGAAGGGGCCTCTCCCACATCAGCAACTCTTTCAACAACTTCTCTACTCGGGGTGGTGTTGTCTCCTCCTCTTTCTTGCCTTCGCTAACCGGCCAAACATAAGCAGCGAATGCTTGGTCAACTCTATATTCTCTTTGACTGTGTGCTTGGCGAATGCTTGGGCAGTCATAGAGCAAAGGAACAGGTGGGGCTTTACTCCGAACTTGTGGAACAGCCACATTTTCTTTTTTCCTCCCTTGGGAGTGGGCAGCTTAGCACTCGTGTTCGCGTACTGGGCGTTTCCCCAAACTGTCCCCAAGATCAAGTCAAACTGTAGGTTATCTACCACTAGAAGGTTCAGGGAGTGCAAAACTTTCTCTATCATCTCTCCTCCCTCCAATTGGAAGTATGCCTTAGTCTCATTTTGTATTTGTGTGGCAACTTGCTCACTATCGGCTCACTCAATTTGTGTTATCATGCTGTGATGCAATTTTTTCAGTCCTTTCCTACTAATGTAGCTAGGCGTAGATCCGCTGTCAACTAACACACCTACTCTAATCCTACTAATCTCTACATCTCTCAAAATTAGCTTCCTTTTATTTCTTTTCTTCGTTCTGGCCCAGGCCTGGTGACAATCGACCAGTTCATCACCTACGTTTGTGAGGGATCCACCTAGAGAGACCCTGGTACAAGCAGTCGTGGGCAACCATCTAGGTGGGGCCCTACCTCAGCCTCTGCCATTGCGACCTGTAGACAGGAGGTTTCCAACTTAGCGTGCGCCTCTATCCGACTACCAAAGTCTGGAGTCTCAGTAGGAGGAGCTGCAACTTACAACCCATTCCCGTTTCGCAGATTCCTGATTTCAGGACAGAAGGGTGTGGTTAGGGTCCCTTGCATCGGATATCCTCTACATCTTGAGGGCCTTCCAAGGCTCACCTTCGTCACGCCTTGGGTTCAGTGGGTACCTACACAGACCCCTAGAACCGACATTGCCACTACTGGCAAGGGAAAAACTGCCCCTTTCTCCTCCTTGATAAGAGGGAGAACCATGGCCACCCTTCCTCCTCCTTGGTATGAGGGAGAACCACATTGCCGTTATTGGGGAGGGTAAAATTGCCCTCCTCCTCCTTGGTAAGAGGGGGAACCATAACCCCTACCTCCCGATGGATTGCCTCCATTGCCACCACTCCCATGAGCGGCTGGTCCTCTTACCTCCCCTACCTTGGCCACCTCTTCCTCTTTGCCCTCCCCCACAGGCTGCTGCAGCCGCATAGCCACCCGCCTGGGCTACTTGGCTGTCATCTATCTTATCGAACCCATAGTCAGTGCCTCTGCTCCTCCCTCGAAAGTCGCTAACAAGTTATCCTTCCCTTCAATATTCGCAGAAAGAGTCTGGTTTTCCACCTTTTCCCTTTCTGCAGGTCCTTGTGGAAATGATAGTTAGCCTCTTGCAGAAAACCGGCCTGCTCTATGACCTCCTCGCTATACTTACCGCAGGTCATGTCCTCCTCTTTAGTTTTGGCATAGAGTTGGGACTGAAGGGCATCAGACAATTCCATGGCAAAGTGATTTAGAATCTGCTCCGGGGTCAGTCCATGATCTGAGCACTGGACCAGTTCATCCATTCAGGGCGGAAACGCTCTTCCCACGTCTATTATCGATATTTAGGATGATGTCTGTCTACCTGGCCTGGTGGAAACGCTCTTCCCACGTCTATTATCGATATTTAGGATGATGAAGTCCTCTATGTTAGTCTGTCTAGAGTATTCCACCATGTTCCTACCACAATTTGCTGCTTCGGCCAGCGATATGGTGTAATTTGCTGCGTCGCCCTGTAAACATGAACTCGCGAGAGCAGGTTAACGGAGGCCTACATTTTCAGACAATTTGTCATGCCATTGATAACAAAACCCAAGGGCTTTTTAACCAAACTTGACACCAAGTCATAGAGTGGAGACCACACTAACTACTTGCAAAAAAAAAAGCGAACCCCCCCACCCCCCTGTAAAACAGCAAGGCGAAAGTGCACTTTCATGTAAATTTCGCCAACATTCTAATTTCAGAAATCTTCAGAATCTCAGCAGAGGAATTTCCAATGCTCCAAATGAGACCAAATTTGGCACACCAATCTTGAACCAAAACAAGAACAGGGAAAAAAGCAACAACATAATATTTGACCTCCAAACCCTAATTTCAGTTTTGGAGCAGTTAACCAAGGAGCTGAAAGACGGGGTCCCCGCTAACCATTTTTGGAACTCGCCATCAGCACCTTATCACAAGGTGGAATCAACTTTGTGTACAGACACGATAACACCGCAGATTCCCACTGCCTAAAGTTCTTGTCCTCCTTACCCGTATAGGTGCAGGGGACCTTCATCTTCATCTTGTCCCTCTTCCTTTCACCTTCGGCACGTTTCACGTCTTCCTTCCGGTCGCCTCCTCCCTTCCCGTCATCTCCATCAATTGGATCTCCTCTACCTCCGCCGCGTGGCCTAGCTTCTTCCACTGTGCGTACGATCTTTCTTGTGCAGACCCTTCTAATTCGGTTGCGTAGAAGGCAGTCGTGTTGTCGATCTTGTTGAGGGTTGCAATGGGAAAGTTGTTCCACTTACTTTTGAATCCCTTCTGGTGGGACTCTACTCAATTCGGTAGAAGCACGAAGCGCCACGGTTTCTTGGGTGGAGTGGTGGACAGCATCAGTAAGGTGGGGCAGTCTGGCATCAGCATCAGCCTTACCTTGTCGTTGCTCCTTCAGTCTTCACTGAATTGCCTCGCCCTCCTCTCTAACTTCTTTTTCCTCTCAAATTACTTTCTTTCTGTTCTACTGCAGTCATTCATGAGAGTCATGCTGCTGCAGTTGGATGTGGAGGGACTGGGGTTGGCTGGTTCCTGCTTCATCCTCCCTCTGAACCACATATCTCACATCTCCCTCCTTTCCTTTATCTTTTCCTTCCTCCAAAACCACATTTTCTTCTTCTTCTTCTGTCGTCTTCATCTTGTCATCCAACTTCCTTTTCATCTCCTCCTCCATCTTCTGTTTAATCTCCTCCTTTTTCTTCTTTTTATCCCCCTTCCTCTGCCTCGATATTGCCTCCACTCGTGCTTGCTGCTCCGCGGTATACGGCGCTGTTGTTGTGCCAGACCTAAGGGTTGCGGTCATCCTAGAGGTCCAGTGGAAACCCAAGGGCAAGAACAAGCGGAGCAACGGCTCCCAGATCATGGTCAGGGCGATGAAAGTAAACATGGGATAGTCATCCATGGTGAAGGTTGGGCGCAGTGGCAAGCTTACTCCACCTCCTCACCACAGACCTGATCGCTCGACACTTAATCCTCACCACTTGGCACTTACTCTACTAACCTATTCTAGATTGAAGGTCTGACCAGTCTACTTCCCTTCCCACGTCTGTCGCTACAGCTCCCCTGCAGTGCTGGTGGCCAGCCAACAAGTTAAGGACTGCCAGCAATCGTCCTCAAGAATTGTTTAATGCCGCAGACAGGACGGCATGGCCACCAAATGCAATCTCGCTGTCAAGACTTACAGCTCCTCACTGCGTCAGCTCCGGTTCGGTCACATGCCGGTCAATACCGGTCTCAGGGCGAGCCGGGTTGTTTTACGAGCGCCCGCCACTCATGCCCATATTCCCTACTAACGGGAGATGCCTCCAGCTGCCAAGCTCTACCCTAAACGGAACTGCAACCCCTCACTGGTCGTCACACGGTTCCGTTGTGTGCCGGTCAGTACTCGTCTTAGCGCTAGACAGCTTGTTTTACAAGTGGCTTCCGCTCATCCCCACACACCATACTTAACATGTCGTTATCCAGCTGCCGAGTTGACCAACATCCAGGACTCAAGACTCAGCAGACTCGATTCACAAGATTGCGACCAATTACCAATTTGCAGCAGTGTCACCAAGAAAGCGTGGGAATTTCTAGACATCAACAAAAGTCAAATGCAAAAGGACCAGGGTTGGGGCAGGAAGCACTTCACACTATCTTGAACATTCCACTAGGTGATGTTCCTCGCATCCCAGTATACGCTCCACTTTGCAATTACCCACCCCTTCTTCTTCGACCCGCTCTCCTCCTTAAACCCTGATTCAATTCTCCCCCGCTGGCTTGACCACCCTACCGAGGAGGGTGGTGATTATTCTCCCGCTGGTGGTGCAATAAGTTGGGTGGTGATAACTCTCCAGCACTGGGAGTACTGTTGGTAGGGTGGGAAGTAGTCTCCTGGTAGGGGTACAATTGCTAGGGTGGTGAGGTGGTGATTATTTTCTCCCAGTGGGGGCAGAGTGGTGATTGTTCTCTGTTGGGGTTACAATTTGTAGGGCGGTGATGACTCTCCTGCTGGGGTTAGAATCTCGGAGGTGATCAGCAGCTTAGGAGGGAAGAGGGGCAACAGGAGCAGGTGAGAATGGGAAAGAGGAGGGAGAGGTTGGACTCCACTGTTGGAGATAGAAGATGAAAGGTCTGGTGTGGCTACCTTCGCTCTCTTTGCCTTGTTGTTTTCTGAGACGCGCTTGCCTTTTGCTGTCCTTGCATGTGATATCACTCCAATTCCCCGTTTTCTCCTTCGTCTTTCTTTTTTCTTCCTGCCGTGTGCCACTTGATCCTAGTCCAGTTTTTTTAACACTCCTCTCCCCCTCCTTGAAGATAGAAAAAAACATGCTTTTCACTGGCCAGTATGCCCCCTTTTCTGTTTCTCTTCCATCTACTCCCACAACCCTTCCTCCTCCTCGACATCCTCCACCTCCTCAACTTCCTCCCCTTCCTCTCCACCCTCTCCTCTACCCTCTCCTCTGCCCTCTCCTAAGCCTCCACTCTGCCTTCTCTTACACCTCTTCTGCTTACTCTCTACCTCCTACTCTACCTCCTATCTGATCTCCAGGCCGATGTCTCCTGCACCTCTTCTGCTTACTCTTGCCTCCTACTCTACCTCCTATCTGACCTCCATGCCGCTCTCTCCGACAACTCTACTCACTCTCTACCTCCTACTCTACCTCATGCCTCCCACTCTACCTCCCACTCTACCTCTTACTTCACCTAGTATACCTCCTACTCTACCTTCTCTTTTTTTTTTTTTTTTTTTTTTACATGCTTCCAGCACTCGTAGGCAGAGATTCGCTCTCTGAGTCCATTTCGCACACCAGTGTATGCCACTTCAACACCAGCAATGGCTCCGCAACATGATTGAAGTGTGCCGAAAAATTTGGACCATTTCTCGATTTATGCGTGTCATCCTTGCGCAGGGGCCATGCTAATCTTCTCTGTATCGTTCCAATTTTAACGGATGTCCCGAAGGACACCTACTCTACCTTCTCTTATTTTGTCTCAACAGATTTTTCTCTCTGTGTTTGGAAGCGTGCAGGATCCAAGGGTCTCTACGTCCTACTTTACCTCCTACTCTGCTGCCGCCTCCCATTCCGCCTCTGCAGATCTATCTGTATCTGTTTGGAAGTGTGCAATTACCATTGATAGGTTTCAATCAGAGAGTCTCAGTCTGACTTGGGATCAATTGTTTAGGGGTAATGAGCTGGGCACCAGGTGCAGGTCATAACTAAGAATGATTCTCTGATTGTGTTCATTGAGAAGCAGAAGGGAGAAGGAGAAGCTGTGTAAGGTGCCAAACGAGACGAGAACAGAAAGGAGAGCGTGTTTTACTTGAGGTTCAGGTGGTATTGGTTTGACTGGCAGTCTAACGGTGCATTAGCTGGGGTAACTGGCAGTTTATCTATCAAAGTGGTGGTTTAACTGACAGTTTGACTGGCGAATGGTGGTCTGACTGTTGAACTGGTGTTTTAACTGACAGTTTAACTGTTGAACTGGTAGTTTCGGTGAACTGCCGGGAAGCATACTGTAAGGTATCCCGGAGAAGTGGTGGGCCAAGTACCAGTGGGTGTTACGTATTGATTGGAGCGAAGTGTGCGAGAATTGCCGTGTCCGTGGGTGTTGAGTGTGGTGTGGATCGAGTTGGACACTACAGCTTTGCAGGGGTGGGGTGGAGATCATGACCGGTATGGTTCCGCTTTTGAACACCATGTCCTGGATGTAGTGGTTAAGAGACTTGGCTCTTGAGGCCAAGGTCGCAGGTTCGAATCCGTGCAGAGGAGGGCTTACGCCGAGATGTACGGATCGATAGCTACTACTACTGGTGGTTTAACTGACAGTTGACAGTTTAACCGGCGAACTGGAGTAACTGCCGGTTCAAGTACCAAACTGGTGCTTTAACTGACAGTTTAACTGATGAACTGGTGGTTAAAACTGACAGTTTAACTGGTGAGCTGGAGTAACTGGCTGTTTAACTATCAAATTGCTGGTTTAACTGGCAAACCGGTGGTTTAACTGGCAGTTTAACTGGTGAATCGGTGGTTTAACTGAGAGTTTAACTGGCGATTTAACTACCAAACTGGTGGTTTAAATGACAGTTTAACTGGGTAACTGGTGGTTTAAAGCACCAGTACGTCCTAAAACTGCTCCACGTTAACGGGTGTGGCTTTTGGGATGCACGGGCCTGGGCCGGTAGCCCCGATTCAGCCAAGTGGAAACGGCACGATTTCCACTGTTGGCTCGCCATAACGCGGAGCACTTTTTGGAGGTGCTGGTGGTTTAACTGGAGAACTGGAGGTTTAACTGACTGGCGAACTGGTGGTTTAATCTCTCTCTCTGTTAACTGGTGGTTTAATGGGGAGCAGTGATACGGAGGAGACAGGGTGGTCGAATGGTTGCAACGAATTGCAAAAGGGGGGATAATGTTGAAGTGGGGTTTTTATCTCATCATCAGGTTGCCAAAAAGGGTGATGAGCTTGCCCAACATTATGGTGGAAGCTTTTGCTGGCTTGTAAAGGGGGTTATAAATGTTGAAATGGGGGTGGGGTTTTTCGCACCATGCTGGCATAAAGTGACGAGGGGTTCGGTGTATGCGAGGCAATAAAAAAAAAGGTTTGAAAAACGAAAAACAAAACAGGAAAGGCGAAGCCAATCACATCATATCTTTGGCCAAATATGCTACAAAACGACTTCCAAAAGTCAAAAGTGTTCTTAAAAAAAAAACCGAAAAAAAAGCCGGTTGCCATCAGAGTGGATCATCAGGACGTCCTTCGATGTCTTGCTTAACAGCATCGGTTGGAGCAAGAAAAGTGAGAAAAAGTAAACGAACAGAAAGGACGTTTAAGAAGTACAAAATACAGAAAGTCTTCGAAGAGAAAAAAGCCAAACGACTGAATGGCTTTGGCTGCTAAGCCGTGTTACGCAAGACTTAGCGATTCATGTTTTTTTTTTTTCGTTTCTTTTTTCCTATTTTCTTGTTACACCGTCGTGCCATTTTTTTGCTTATTTTTTCCAGATTTTTATTTGTTTTCTTGTTACACCGTCGCACCATTGCTGCTTCCACTCTTGTTTTTTTTTTGTTTAATAATAATGTATGGATGCATGGTGCTAGACACAGCAAGGCCACATTTTTTCTCAACCGGATGCGCTCTGTGAAGTAAAGGAAGGGTGCGCTCTCCCATGGGATCGTCCTCACATTGCACTTGATCTTGTGTCAGGGCGTTCTCCCTGCCTTCATGCTTGTTTGCAGCTTGCTTAGTGTAGGAAGGAGGTATGGTATGTGCAGGGTGCTGTCTTGGCGAAACAGCGTCCTTTAGGACATCTGTTAAAACGAAGGACATTAGCATGGGCCCTGAGGAAGGATGACACACATAAATTGAGATTTGTTCCAGAAAACAAAAGGGGGGTAAAAAAAAAAAAGAACAAAAGAAAGGGGCAAAAGAGCGATACTTAGCAGGAGCAGAACATGACATTACGTGCTCCCGTCCACAACTCGTATTTGTATTTGTTGAAATTTTCTGTTGTTTTTTACTTTCAGTTTACAGGTCATGAATGAAGTTTTCTGTACTTTACTGCGGGTAACCCCCGCAGTGGCTGAGGGTGGTGGTGGTGGGCATATACCCGATGAGGAGAGGGTACCTCGCTTTATCAGCCCCTGATGTGGATGGGGATGGTTATTGTGAGGCGCCGCCATCTGCGTCAGATCCCCCGTCGGTGCTCGCAACAGGGAAGGCAACAAGGGCGGGACGCATGGCGCATTTCTTCGGTAAGCGGTCTTCTAGGGTTCGACCCTCTACAAAAGGGAACCGAAATGTACCCTGGGGGACGATTGATGGCGGGGTGCTCCCTGGCGGCTTGCGGGGCCGGAGTTGGGCCCGTGACTTTGGCGGATACTTGTTCCGTTTTGTATTGCGGAGGCCTCGTGTTGTGGCCGGTTGTCTGGTCCTCCACTTTTTAGCTATTTTTCTTATCATAGGGGTCCCTGATTTTCAACAACGCAGATATATCCCGGGTTCTACGTATAGAGGGGAGGAGGCATATCAGCTCTTCCGCTCTTACATGGAGAACGATACCGATGTTACGAGCCTGAGCTCTCCTTGGTGGTTGCATCCGAAAAAAGGTAAGGAGCTCAAGCCTTGCTTGGATATGCCGCCGTGGCATGAGCCACCTTCAGCGGCTAGCAACAACGGGTACATCTACATTGTTGTGAATGGTGGTCTAAACCAGCAGCGTGCCTCAATCTGTAACGCAGTGACTGTCGCCCGGTTCTTGAATGCGACCCTTGTGATTCCGTATTTCCATTACAATGCCATCTGGAAAGATAGCAGCACGTTTGAAGAACTGTTCGACATGGAACACTTCATCAACTCGCTAAAGAATGACGTCAACGTGGTCACCTCCCCGCCTGAGCAACTTGTGAAAGCGCTTCCTGAGGCAGTTCAGGGATCGGAGGGGCCGGAGACACTCGGGTACAAGGTGAAGATCCTCGGGAGGTCACCGATATCGGCATACCTGGATGAGGCTCTCCCAGCCCTGAAGCAGTACAAGGTGATCAGGTTTTCACCGTACGCGAAGAGGCTAAATAATGATGGAATTCCTCTGGAACTCCAGCGGCTGCGATGCAAAGCAAACTTTGAGGCGATCCGTTTTGCGAAGCCTATTCGTGACATGGCGGACATCCTCATGGAGCGCCTTTTGTCCGGGGAGTACTCGCCTGAGGGCATGCGGCATCCGGTTCAGAAGTACGTTTCTGTGCATTTGAGGTTCGAAAAGGACATGGTTGCATTCTCAAACTGTCTCTATACGGGCAAGCGAAAAGAGAAACAGGACTTGGCTGCGTATCGCGAATACGGGTGGAGAGGGAAATTCACACGCAAAGGAAGGGTTCCCCTTGATCCTGGCAAAGTAAGGCGCGAGGGAAGGTGTCCTTTGACACCCCTAGAAGTCGGTCTTGTCTTGAGGGGCATGGGTTTTCCAAAATCCACGAGAATCTACATTGCATCGGGAAAGATCTACGGTGGGGAGAAGACGATGCAGCCATTGCGAGAGATGTTTCCAGACATTTTGACAAAGGAAATGTTATTGGCATCAGAAGAGCTTGCACCCTTCCGGAGCTTCTCTTCAAGGCTAGCTGCTCTGGATTACACTGTGTGTTTGCACAGTGAGGCATTTTTTGTCACCCAGGGAGGAAACTTCGGCGAGGTTCTGATGGGTCACCGACGGTTCCTCAACCAGGGCCATGCGAAGACAATCAAGCCAGACAAGAAGGTTCTGTCGGCACTCCTGGATTGCCCCGACATCACGTGGGACAAGTTCCGTCAAGCGATGCGGATCATGCGTAAAGATAATGACGCAAAAGGCGCCGCAAGTCGACGGATCAAGGACTCCATATTCGCGTTCCCCTCTCCAGAGTGCATGTGCCCAGCTACGTACGATGCAGCCGCTGCTGCAGCCGCCGGCTTGTACAAGACCGCAGAATCGCTTCAGCCTGGCAGTGGTGGAGGTGAGGTGTCTATCGATGTGGGAGCGATCTTTCCGCGTAATTGCAGCAGCAAAGTCACAGTGTGATTTGTTTCCTAGGGTTGTTAACCGCTGAGGTTTTGTATTCTCCGATGGGCTCAGCAGCAGCAGCAGATTCAGTTTTGTTCTATGCTTACGACGGTGGCCACAGGGAATAATATGGGTTGCAGTGCCAACATTTCCAGTTGGTACTTCGTCCTCAGGAACATGGGAATGGAGAACAAGCACATGACAGAGGACTCCGATCGCATAGCAAGTCTGTGCTTGGCACTAAATGTGGTCCGTTGCCGTCGCAACAGTCCAGCGACTCCAAAAGGGAGTGCTGTGGGCATGTCATGTCAACTGGCATTGTATGATTTGATTTATTTAGGAAGCTCGTGTAGTGAAGCCTCCCAAAGCCAGTTGTCCTTTTTCATGGTCGGGGGGGGGGGGGGGGGGGGGGCGGGGAGGGAGAACTTCACGGGATGTCGTGGACTGCAACCTGCCGAGCCTGACACATTTATACACAAGGCTTCCCTTTCATCTTTTTTAGTGTTTTTTTTTAAGCCATCCCTTTTTCTACGTGTTGTATTTAAATCTTTTTGATCGTCTGATTATTTTTCTGCTGTTTGCTACATTCGTCCCTGGGTAGGACTGGGTAGGAAATTGCGTATTGATGCCTTGCAGCTCAAGTCACTGCTTGGTAATTGTGTTGATGGCTCTTGATTTTGGGTTGCCCTCCATTTTGGGATCTGCCGAGGGTCCAAGTGTTGCAGCAGTATAGGTTCATGGTTCATCTCTACATTCTCTCTCTCTCTCTCTCTCTCTCTCTCTCTCTCTCTCTCTCTCTCTCTCTCTCTCTCTCTCTCTCTCTCTCTCTCTCT